TATTCATGAACAGCTTGTAACACTCCAAAGAGAAAGGAAAACTTGAAATCACATCATATGACCCCTTTAAATAATAAAAAAAAAAGAATAAAAAAAAAGGAGTAAATTCTATATCAGTACTCAATTTAAGCTTGTAGAAATTAAAGTTTGAACTTATAAGTATATTTTACTTGGAATTGTTTATGTTTACAAGGATTCTTTAAGTATTCTTTAAGTAAGTTATGATCCTGTTGTTCCCATCATGCACTGGGGCATGAATAATTAATAAGGTTAAATTTTTCACTGTTTTTGAGTTGTATTTACACTGTTTTATGGACGCTTTTGTTGTCAGGTTTAGTAACTTGCTGTTTTGTGACATCTGGAGTTCATTTTCTACTCAAAATGACCCATTCAAACACTATTAAACACTACATTTCCTTCTCTGATCTTCTTGAACAGATTGAGAGAATATTGTGTGTTTGCTGCAGACAAGTACTCCATTTTCACAAGCTGAGCAAGAAATAGTTGTTGTTTAAATAACAGCAGATCTTCATCCTTTAACACAAGCTGTTAGTTTTGTTAGTTCTAAATTACAAACAGAAAAGTATCTTTAACAGAGTTCAGTAAAAGCATTGCCTTGAATAATCAGCAGAAATGATGACGTATCTTGAGATTAATGAATCACCAGTTATGGGTGTCAGTTATGGCTGTCATTGCAATCATAAAGTCATGAGGTTAGTGCTTCATGAAAATACTCATACTAAACCTTGAGTTCGGGAGGTAGCTCAAACTTCTGGGTTTGTTGCGTCATTGATGGTTCATGTTGACCCTTGACGCCGCAGGGCATCTGGGGCTTCTGGGCTTGTTGATGAGGAGCTGGAGTCGCAGCATCAGGCTTGGCAGGATTGGAAAACCCCAAAACCTTCACAGCATTTTTTTTGTAGAATTAATAAAGGCAACCTCACTATTCTGATAAATTCAACATCTATTGTGAATGCATTGCTTAAAATAGTGCATCAAACTCCATCTTGATTTACTCCACACACGTTAGTACTATACTGCTATTTATTCAATTGAAAAGACACAGACTGAGCATTTAGTCATATCTGAAACCCAAGAGTGACCATATTTTTCTGTGTCCTGCCCTTTAAGTGAAACTGCAACATGAGACCACAATAGTCTTGTCTGTACAAGCACAAAGCTCATTATCCCAGGAAAAATCCCACATTAGTCCCTCCTCAGAGCAGG